CGCTATTTACGTACTTAATTGTCCAACTATTATAATTACTAAATCGTCATGATTTGGAAACTTTTGGTGAACTCTGAGTGTACCAGGAGGACCATATTGAAAAAAATGACCATACTGTAATCCAAATGTGTCTGTTTACTGCAGCTCAGAATACACCCGATAGCATCTCAGAGCATCTAGGTTGTGTTTTTTTTTAATTGGGGAGGCACCCACAAACCCCCCGCCCGCACTCCGCCACGGCCTATTGCAAAAGCATTTCGGCCTGTTACTATAAAAGATAATGAAAACCCTGAGCTTATATATATATATTCCGGATGTGATGCACGCTGTTGTTCACAAGAAATGATCGGCAAAATTAATTTTTAACTGTGCATAGTTGTTACTATTTTACTCTACAAGTACAATGAAACCCCTGCCACATCATCTGAAAATACAGCTTATATAAATACGAAATATGGAGGTGGCATACAGCGTGCGAGCTTGGCACTCGCCCGCTCGCCAATGTCGAGTGAAAATAATATCGGGCGAGTGAAAGCTAAAGCTAACTCGCCCATGTTGGCGAGTAAAAATAATTGTCTAGAACTTTAATCAAATATGTTGGTTCCTTACGTTATATATCCAAACATTGATGAAATACAGTTGTAGCGATTGTGAAGGGCGGCTATCCCACGACATCCTCACTTTATATTATCAAAGGTCGCCGAAGAAAGCACCCGCGAGAGCGTGCAGCGCCAGCACAGCGTGGCTGTGTATACGTGCCTGGGGCGGCATATTGATTGATGTACGGGGGGGGGGGAGTGCAGGATTGTTTAAAAGTTGGCGTAACATGGCGTTTCATTGATGGGGCAAAGCAACCCGAGAATAAAAGTAAATTAAATAAAATGAAAACAGGAACTTTCAGAGGAGATGTGCCTTGAATTTTTTAGAAAATTGATTAATGAATTACATGTGTAGTTAAATCAATGGTGTTTTTGTGTTTTTTTTTCACTATTGTTTGACAAGCATTTTTGTTTTAAAATTTGGGCGAGTACATATTCCGTTTGGGCGAGTTAACTTATTGACTCACTCGCCCAGTTTGGCGAGTGGTTTTTATTTTAAAGCTCTAACACTGGCATAGCTTATTAGGTAGGCTGTGTACAGGATGTAACACACTAGTGACTACCCAACATTGTTCTTTAAAACATAAACAAATATGCATGTGATGTTGTACAATGCATAAACTTTCTTGTCAACTAAAGATCAAAAGCTTCTAATTCTAGCTTATATGTGTGTTACATGACAAGATTATGTTACATGTACTAAATTGTTTGGATGCGACCACATATATATGCAACAATAGTTAGTGAATGCGCTGGTTATATCTTGATAAATTGAACACTGTAACTGTAAGCCAACTAATTAAGTTATTCAGCAGAAATCAATAGTAAATTCTTACGGTCCTAGTTGCTGTTATGTAAAGTATTTGCAAATTATAAAAATAATATAAAATATTCAAAGTTCCAAACCAAGTGGCTTAAATGAGTTTTGTGTACAGGCATGGAAATTTCATAGATTTATATATAGGTATTCAGTGACATGATTTAATCCCAGAGTCTGGACTACTTCAAACACCACCTGGACGGAAGCCGTAGACTCGTAGAGACTTTCCTCATTATATCTATAACCTTGGAGAGCGTTCGGCTTGTCTTCCCTGGTCCATCTGTTCTTAACTTGATTTTTGGCAATATAGCTATTTCTAATTCTGCACACAGATTGTTAAATTTATTCATTAACACAAACACGATTTTAAAATTAGAAATTTCATAAGCGTGTTGCTTATGAGAATTTCTAATTTTAAAATCGTGTTTGTGTTAATGAATAAATTTGAAAAATAAAACCATGATAATGTTTACTGATTATTTGCATCCACGCAGGTTGACTGGTTAAGAAGTGTGTGTGACATCAATCCACAGACAGAGAGTCATGGCTTCTTCTGGTCATGCTGAGGATGAGCTGTTGGTTGTTTATGGTGAAAGTGGGAGGGCCAACGAGGCTGGAAGGGACCACTGGACACACATGAAAGATGAGGTAATTTTACTCAAGTGGTTCTACAGATTTTACACTAGGACATGCATGTCAGTTCTCCCTGGTGAGCAGTTCCAGTGTTGGAATAGTAGCCATTCCTACAGTCTAAAAACTTGTGTGTCCTAAACACTCACAAATCAGAAGAAATGTCAAAAATACTAGCGAATGTGGTATTTTAAGCTATTGTGATAACAAAAATTCTGAATCGTGTCCAAAATTTAACAAAAATATCTTCCGCATTAGTCAATTCTTAACACAGGCGTTCAATAATGGGAAATTTAGAAAAAGTGCTAATATCTCCATTGTTAGAAATGCTGAAGTTGCTGGTTTCTTAAACGCTATTTCTCGAAACTCACAACTCTGATTCCAAAATTTGTTGTTACGTTTCAATGCTAACATATCAAAGGAAAAAACTGGGATTTTGTTTAAATATTATATTTTATAAGTTATGGCTCATTGTTTATGAAATTGTTGCGTTTTTAAAATTGCTACAAATTTTTGTACATCTTCAACTTATTTCCTAAATTAAAGCATTAAAAAAAATTCCAGGGACCCTTTTTAGCTCAGCTGACGAAGTCAGATGCAGCTTGTAGAATCGCATGAACGTCCATTCGTTCGTGCGTGCGTCCGTCAACAGTTGGGCACAAATCTTAAGCGCTCGACTAATTAATTAATACTATGAATATCAAATTACGCTCTAGTCATATACACAGATTTAATATAGAGCTCCGTGAGTCTATAGTTGGTCTAAAACCGGTTCTAACGTTCTAAATGTACAAAATCGAACACCCATGAAACATGATGCTTCGCCGAAAGAGGGCGACTGAGATGCACTACTACGGTCAAAACCAGTTGTTCGTGTCCGTATTTCTCTGTGTTACATTACAATCTGGTCTTATCTATTTATTGGGTCCTATCAGATCGACGGAAGTCTTGCACATTATTTCTTAACGTCTACGCTAGTCGCGAAGAGCCTCGGTTTGATAGTTTCGCATCTTATCGTATGCTTTAGTGCGTAACTGTATCACATCGTAGAGTGCCAATTATTTTGCTTTGACAAGGTTGGTGTGTGCCTGGCCCTGTACACGAAGATGGAGCAACCTAAATGCCCTGGCTGCTTCATATGACTGCTTGCTGGTATACCACGTATTACATCTATATTAGGGGACGATGTAATCATGTCTAGGGCAGGGTGAGTGCTTTACGCAAGTTTCGTATGTGATGGATTTTTGCGGCGATTTTCAGTCAGTCTTTTCGTAGAAAGAGTTTTTTTAAAGTGGTATTCCTCTAAGGGTTTCAAGAAGTGATAGGTTCTTTGTCTGGGCTGAAGAATCGTCACAGGCATCAAACAATGACCCATGCCTTGATTACCGCGCACGAGCACAGGCACTTGAAGCGTCTCTATATACAAAATTACCCTTGGTAAATAAAACACGATAATGTTACGAAAACGTCTTAATAGTTTCTTCCTCACTACTTATCGTTTCGCCTATAACACCTGTCAGACTGCGCCGGTCCATCCATGCTCATCTGGTCAATCCCACAAGTCCACCGCACCGCCGCCGCTGTGTGCGTGCATAAACCACATAGAATCAAGAGAGCAGGTTCGGGGCGCTGATCGCGAAATCGTCTGACGGTCTTACGCTTCATTTCACGATCCGATCACAGCACGCAAACCCTCAAACAGCTCCTCATACATATGTTCTCCGTTGTTCGAATTATAACTCCGGCCTTTGTTCTTACTTATTCCCGCCCAGAAGATATCTCGGGCATCCTGCCAGGACGATGTTCTCCTCCGTGAAGATGTCAAGATAGAACGTCTCATCCGAACATCCCTAACGGCGCACTCTTCGCTCGCGTCGCGTGTAGTTCGGGCGTGTGCGGACGTCATTCCGCCCCGTCAATTTGCGCCGGCATTGTGTTACGGCTTGGTCACGTGGCGGCGTCGCGTACGAACCACGGCCCCTAAGTTATCTCGTCAAGATTCAAGTAGACCTATTTTTGCTACCACATACAGGGTGTCTCCCTAGGTTGCGCCGAACGGGACGGGCGCGGCGGGCGCCCCGGTTTGGGAACGACTCCCTGTTTTGATATCGTATGCGCCCCGCTTTGGCAAACTCCCCTGTTTGAATCGTTGCGACCCGTTTGACTGTCCACACAATAAAAGGTTTTGCCAGCCCCGCGGGACTCAGCTCGTCATCGAATTGCCGATTCGACCAGGAACCATTCGGCGCGGTATTTTTATTACCGTGTACCCCACGGCATGTACTGAAGACGAGTACACGCGCAAGTTCACCTGACATGCGCACAGTTCCCGCGTCACCTACCTGTGACATCCCTGCCTCGCTACCTTAATGACTACACGAACCCAAAACAGCGCCGTCTGTATATGGTGTGGTGGCGATTTTACGCATGTATTATTCGTACCGGCTAAATACACCGCCCCCGGGACCCCCCTAGTTTCCCTCCCCCCCCTGACCCCTAAGTTTTCCCCCTCTCCACGCTGGCCCCCTCCGCGTCCCCCGCTCTAAACAGACGGCTCGACTCCCCTTGCCGGCGCCTGTTTGACATTTCTCTCGCGAGAACCCTGACATATATACCAATGGAGCTGTTGGAGTGTGTTTTCGTTCTGTGATCGTGTGCATATGACGTCGCAGCGAGTCGCAGCTGATTTCCTGATCACCGCCTTTCCTACCTGCTCTCTTATTCTCGTTGTCTGTGTGCCCGCGCCAGGGCGGCGATGCGTGCTACTTGTGTGTGCAGATGAGGCCATTTTGACCGGATTCTACGGTGAGTATAGCAAAAGCGTCGAAACATTAAGACTTTCTGGTAGCGTTTCGTGTTATTTACCATTGATTTTTTTATTGAGAGACGTTCCAAGTGCCCCTGTCGTCTCCACGAGACTGATGACAAGGACTCGGCGTGCAGCAGCTTTGGCTGTGCTGCCTAAGTCGCTGGCGCGCGCTGAGACCGCGCTTCCGCGGATACTGCGGCACGCGACCCGGGGATGTTCCGTATGCACGCTGTCCGGCAGTGGAGACGTGCGGCCAAATTCGAGGCGCCGGCGCACGTCTCCACAGCGTCCAGTGTCAGTCTGGCCTGTCTGTTTTAGAAAGATGACCATGACTTATATATGGACGCTATTTCTAGAATTGAAGATTATTAAAACAGTAACAAAAATCGCTGAGTCATTGCTCCCAGATTAGTGCATCAAAAGATTCAGAATTTACTCTGAACAAAACCACTACATTGGTTAAAAATTCACACCAAAAGAAAGGATAGAGAGGAGACGGAAGGTACCGTCAAGGGCCATAGGCCCCACGTATAAAAATGCAGCGCACTATTCAATACCTAGGGGATTTAATGTACATGATATAGGAGTTATACCGATATGATACCGTCTGGAAATGAAACATGTGCTGATGAGCCCGTTTCATGCGGAGGGCGGAAATTATATATTAGGTATAGGTTAGTGGCATGAAAGAGGCAAACTTATTGAAATCATAATACCATGGAGAGCCAAGAGGTCGCAGTTATACGACTACTGGTTTATCCGGCGTTCGCTTTGTAACTAACAGTGACCATGGACTAACTTTAATCTACGGCAGAAGTACAAAGTTGAGGATGTTCCAAACTGAGTGCCTGCGCAAATACTAATCACGCAGAAAACGCGAAAACTCTAGCGGAAGGCTTGAACGCCGATGAATTCAAGGAAAGACTACGGAGACTCAGTAAAAATAAACATATCGTCTCCTCTAGCGTAACTCGTGGTAAATCATACAAGAACAAACGCGCATTCTTTTATTGCATCGTCCGGCGCATTCCTTATACTCGAAGTACATAGGCCGCGCCAACGGGTAGTAAGCAGGAACTGGTCCGTCGTACGGCCCCTTCATGCGCATCAACGAAGACGGCGGGGCTTATTCCGATTACGGAGATGCGAAAATTCAACAGAAGGACGTAGCGCAGTGCGCTAACAGCGTGTTATTTTCGTTTTTGCCTCTATCGTAGAAACGCGTTCTAGCCTAGCAAGAATGCCTAGTTCCTCGCAGATCGGCGATCCATGCTGTAATATCAAACAGAGGGGTGCGGGCCGTATGGCTGTGATTGGATAGACCCAAGTGGTCGGAATGCCTCGGCCGGAGTCCTGGCGAGCAAGTCAGTGGCCGTCATCACGTCAGATTCAATCGAATCGTGTGATACTGTGTTAACTACTAGTACTAGTCAAACTAGGGCCGTGTGAAAAGGAAGGACCAAGGTACGAATAATATTTTGTAATTTATTATTTAAAAATTTCCCCACGTAAATGTATGCTAACTGACTTCACCAAATTATTCTCTTACTGTTCCTTAGCCCGTACGTGGCAGGGCTTTAATTGCAGAGGTAAAAGATTAGTAAGAAATGCAATAAAATTTGTATTATTCCCCAATATTTTTACACCTATTCACAAACCAAAGTGAGTTTTCCGCTAATGTGCTTCCGGATGTGACTATAGTGGGGTGTGATGCACGCTGTTGTTCACAAGAAATGACACTCTAACCCTAACCCTAATGCGAACCCTAACCCTAACCCTTGCCCTAACCCTAACCCTATACCACCACTATATGCGCCCAGCGACGAACAGACAACTGGAAGAATGGGCGTTCGCGTGGGTCTTATCATATCTTGGTTGTATATATACGCTGGCCTTATCTTGTTGGATATATAACGCTGTATATATACCGCGCAGGCTATCACCACTGTATGCACCCCCCCCCGTACACTGCGTATTTACGCGCCCCCAGCGACACTGAGACGTGCGCAGCCAGCGGGAGCTAGAACAGGGGGCGGGGGCGAATTCATATACATCACCAGATGGCCGCGAGAGGGCAGTAGGGACCAGTCAACATCAATGGCGTACGATTTCTCATTTTATTTATGACGTTCCAAAAAACCAACGAATATCAACGGATTTCCAGGTAATTTAATGCGGAGAGCAAGTAGTATCAGTCCGTAAATGCCGC